TTTGAGCAGCATTCAAGGAATTGGGAATCCAGAGGATGTGAATATCGTGTCCAAAGTTCTGGCGCTGAATGTGGGTGCTCTGCCGAACAACAATCAGTTCACGACATCCGCGGGGAAGACGTCCGCGTGAAGAAAGAAACAGAAGGAGGCTGACGTTAGATGAGTCATGTAAATTGCTGTAGGACGGTATTAGCAAGGTGAAATCGAGCTCTCACTTTTTCACTCCTTCGGCCCTCTTTGACCGCCTTCCCTGTCTCCAATCCAACGTGACGTGTCCTGTAGGAATTCTTACGAGAATGGCGACGAGATTACATTAGTTTGGTACTTGCTCGCCTTTGGGAGGATCGGTGGAATCGGTTGAAGATAGTTCTTGCTGGGTTGAGTTTTTAATCCTTGTTACTCGATTTCTTTGCCAATCTTCTTGAAATTTTGACACTTGTTGAAGGTTACGTATTAATCGCGGTAGAACTTGATTTAAAAATGCAATAAGAACATTGACTTGTTTGAAACTATCTTTCGTTTTTCTAACTGATGATTACATTCTCTTATTAATCATGTTATATTTCAGTATTTGTATTCCTTTGTAGAAATTAATCGAATTATTCTCGATCAGATAAGTGACTAACGAGAATTTCGTTCTAATAAGTGGAGTTCTACTGTTTTGACAGAGAGGGAACAGTAATTCATTAGAGATGAATAATGAAAACACGTAAACATCGCAAGGACTGTTTGATGTCTTGCCAACATGTTCCGCTGTACATTACGTAAAAATTAATCAAACCTCTTGCCTCTTAATACTCGCAACTTGAATTAAGAATAAGTCGTAACGACGTAGATGTACTCGTCAATTCAACTCATCTTCCCTAATTTCCTAACGTTACTCGTCGATTGAGGGGCTCGATCTTTTCAGTTTAAAACAAATATAACACAAAGATCTACTTGCCTTAAGACTTTTTTGAGCAGGCTTGTGTACGTGTATTCATCGGAACGACCATAAGGCAAGGCAAATGTTCGAGATGACCCGTTCGATTATTCGCAAAGATATCTTTCCGTCTGTAAGACTTGCCTTCCAGCAATGTATTGGCAATGCATGCGTATTGTAACGAGCACGAGCGCAATTCCGAGTGAAATCGAACCGAAACCGTTCGCACAACGAGCGTGCAACAACTCACCAGTTGGAAGACGCGTGGGATCGAAACGATTCCCGAAGAAAAAACGCGACTTTCCACCAACATCGCGACGTCCTCCACGCAATAAGAAACTCCTTGACGGATATTCAATGATATTAACTAGGACCGAGAAGATCTTCAGCTTAGGGATTCACCGTTTTGCATCAGGCACGCTCGTAAATCTCGTAATCCAAAATCCGCGTTGCAACACGCAGATTCTGTACATAATCGCACGATACCTTATTTCCTAGCCTCGATTTCGCTTTCCTTCCGCCCTCTCCCCATTTTTCCTTCTTTCTTTTTCTCTTCTCTTCCATCATTGTACTAGCGAGTTTCATCACGGTTGTCCGTGAAACGTGCTCAATCGTAGAGCACCGTGAAATTCCCTCGCGGAGGAGATTGCGAAGAGCTGATTCTCTCAGTTGATGGGATATTGATTGGCGTGAAGATACCGCGAAGGGATTTAGACGGTGTTCGAGGGTGTTTTGCCGGTAATAATTATTGTTAATGTAAAGACGGGCAAGGTACGAAGGGATGGCGAATTGGAAATATTCGTTGGTTGTTCCATTGAGGACCAAACAGTGAGTTATGATATCATAGTACTTCGATTTATAATGTTATACATACTTTCTTCCTATACAATAATTTATAATACTTTAATGCTTCAGTAATTTATAACATAATAAATACTTTAGTTGTTTTTTTTTTTTTCTAATGAGAATGTCGTACCGAAAGAGGGAATTTGATAGTAGAAATTGACTGAATGAATTGATTAATTTCAATACTCCAAAATTCTGGGTACTATGCAGTGTTAATTATTCAATGGAGAGACAAAAACAGAATAATGTCCAATGAAATGTTACGTTAGTCCTTAATGGGTTGAACGTGTCAGATTGGTGGAAAGTAAATGATTTAATTAAATATAACTGAATTAGTATCTTTTCATTATAAAGAGATTTTTAATTCTCTACAAGAAATCATCGCTATATCTATTGATTTTTTAAAGAATTGAATTTAAAACATTAGCGGAATTTATCGTAATAATAACAAACAGAAAACTGTGAGAAAAGACCATCAATTACCATTTTTCTTTTTTTTTAAATATCTATATTATTTGTAGAATGATGTTGTAACTCTATTCTCTTACAAGAGAAAGAAATTTTAGTTGTAAAGAGTTGATTAAAATAGGAAATGCTAGCTCATTTCGTGTACATTTTAAAATTACAAAGATGAATGAAGATATCGATCATAATTCATAATTTATTTATCACACTTTTTTTTTTTAAATGTATATTAAAAGTACATTAGAATTCTCCAAGAATAAAAGCAAATAATCTTTTGTTGGAAAAAGCATTTTATAAGACGATGAGAAGTTTCTTAACTTATTGTTAGAGAAACAATGTTACGTTACAAATACATAACATTATAATCTCCTAATCGAACTCACTGGTAGCACGAAAATTTCAAGGACTTTGGCATAATTTTCTAGTCGCGAAAACCTAATTTCCATAGATATGAATATTAATTAACCATTTGTTTTCCACCGACTGAGCACCCGATTTTCCACCAAAAAAAAAAAGAACAATAGCAAATACAGAAAGAAGAAAGGAATTCACAACCACACTTTGCACAACTCAGCCAAAGCTAAAATCCTTGTGCAATCTCGAATTTTCTTGGAACATCGTGTTAAAATCGTCTGTATTTGACAGCAGCCAAGATAAGATATATTTCTGCAACGACGAGCAATCATAGCATACAAGATAACATAAAACATAACTACTGTCCAAGTCGAGGCAATTAATTATTTATCTAAATGTATCTGCACGTATATAGCTGTACGTGGTCTGTTTCAATAGGAAATGAGATTGCTTGCTTTATTACGTCAGATTTATAATTCTGACGGGAATTAGCATGGTTTTTTTTTTTTCAAGCTTTGAAATAATTTGATTATGTGTATCATTATCCAGTATCGAGTAATTTTAAATTAAAAAATTTTCGTCAATTAAATAATATTATTCGAGATTATTGAATAACATTTGAAGAAGAATATTATTTATTTGATGAGAATTTCTTAATAGAATTTTTTTACAGGCTTCTTTTTAATGGACAAAGATGTCAGTCAGTGGCTTTGAGTTTTTTATATGTTTTAGATTAATATCGACAGCTGTAACTCAAACAAATGTCACAGTAGAAGAGTTTCTTTTGCAACTCATTACTTTTGTAACAGACTATATACTATATATTTGTAACAGACATATATATATATACACACCATTTCATACACCATATGTCCGTGTATGAAAAATGGACACTGAAAAATGGACACGCTGCAGAATAATCTAGAACGTCCCCGTCACCGACGTGGACTTCAACTCTTCTGAGATCAAGGGTCTCGCAAAATCGTGCATCCGACCGCGCTTCGGGATTGAAAATACCTCGCCGACTGTAAATAAACTTTCGCCGCGAGAGACGCCTCACAATACCACCAGGAAAGAGTCTCAGCACGAATGTGTGTACGTGCATGCCCTCAATTTCACAAAACGTTTGGCATAGATTCGCGATTTTCTCTCCGGCGTGCGGATCGATGGATCTACCGTGTTTTGGAGGGAGATTATAAATCAATTATTCAGGAAGCGATGGATTAATCCGATTTATTTATTAAACTGACGATAGATTGATAGAAGTGCCAAATCAGCGAAAACGAGTGATAATTGTTCGGCAGATCTTTTGTCTTTGCAATTATTATGAAATATCAGCAATTATTAAAAATTGTAGTTTTTAGTAATTGGGTTTTACTTCTGAAGAAATAAAAATACAATTATTTTATTTCTTTCTGTTGTTATATTTTGGATTAATTCTAAGTCCTTGGCTACAGGACTGAACAAAAGTATAATACATCTAAAGACAGAGATATTTTGCATATTTGAAAGAGGAAGCTACTGTAAATTTTATTGAGTAGTTTGAGAATGTATAAAATTTTAAATTTTAAGACATACAACAAAAAATATAATATATAATTTGAAAGAAATATTTGGACAAAGTTAGAAGACAATAATATGAAATTGGAATTTCTTTTATTTATTGATATTTGGTAAGATCTCTTTCTAATTGTAAACTATTATACTTTGTTATACTATATTCACATTGGTAAATATTTATAATAATTATCTAATTATACTTTGTGGCATAGAATTATCAAAATTAACACTTGCATCTATAATTTCATACTAATAATACCACTTGACTCTTCATACACCTGAAAACATTAATTTTAATAATTATATGAATTAGGCCATGAAAATTTCAAAATTAAGTAAATATGAAAATCTATATTCGTGTGCAAGTGAAAATAATCCTTGTATCTTTAAATTTGTATTCGTCCTGAAAATTTCGACAATCGTTTGTACGAAGGACAATAGAACAAAACGTGTGTGGGATGCACTTCACGCGAGAACTATACAACAAAGACACACAAGCGTGCAAGTTGTTTTTAAACATGCATTAAGACTTGAACATACGTTAAAAAATTAATATAACATTAGGGTAGATGATCTTAGACGTAATCGACAAGTTTTTCTTGTAATTTATCTGACGCCAAACTATTACGATTCTTTGTAAAGATGTTAATAAACTAATTCGTTTAAAAAAATAATGTATCGCTTCTCGTTTTTTCCATACGAATCTTGTTGTTAAGAAATTACCTCCTTGTTCAATCTTGTTTTGAACAACTATCCCTTTTGTAACAATAAATTTATAATGTCTGTAATAATTAATTTTAAATAAATTCTTCCTTTTGTAATCGATGTCGCCGCTGTTTACCTCGTTTTAAAAATGCGCGCGCCGGCACTAGTCGCGTCAAAGTCGACGCCACCTGTGAATAACAAAACGAAAATGGCGGAGGACAAGATTGGTTCGTTGGAGGAAGAAGCTTTGAAAAGGAAAGAACGGTTGCAAGCTCTGAAACGGAAAACCGAGGATAACAAGGAAAATAAAAACGAAAGTGCCAGTAAGTTACCAAAGTGAGTTTCGTTGTTCTTTTCAAGTGGTTTTAATTTCCTAACCTCAACTAACAGAAGATTCTGAGGACTTAACATTTATGTATATCTGTGTTTATTTCATTGTGACAGACCGAAATTTCGGAGTTACAAACCGCAAGATGAGAGCCTCAAAGACAAGGTATTAGAAGACGCGAAGCCAGGAAATGTAGAGGAGGAGGTGCAAGATCAATTGAGCGCTGCAAATACAAAAGTTGTCATAGAAGAGCTTGTAAGTAATTGTTATCTGTGTCTGTTGTTATTTTGATATTTATTTAATTAAATACGAAGGTTGTCATAAAGGAGTTTATTAGTAATTGTTTTCTGCATCGATTGTTACCTTAATGTTTATTTAATCAAATATGAAAGTTGTCATAGAGGAGTTGTCTTTATATGTGTTGTTATGATATTTACTTAACATAATTCTATAGGATATTAGTAATCTAGCCCCAAGGAAACCTGACTGGGATTTGAAGCGAGACGTTGCTAAGAAATTAGAGAAATTAGAGAGGAGAACTCAGAAAGCGATAGCTGAACTCATAAGGGACCGTCTAAAACAAGGGCAGCACGATTTAGCTGCTGTGGTAAACGTAGCAACCAATGATCAGACAAAATCACCCATATGATATCACTAATTTTTGAAACGTCATATTTTGGTAATTTTATATATACGAATATAACATACGATAATAAAGTATATTAATAATAATATTTATTATCATCTAAATCACAAAGATTTCAATACAGTACATTTCATAGTTACATTCGTGAAGAGAACTTATTATGTTATTAAGATTGAATAAATTATATGTATATTATCATGGCAGCAGTAGGAACTGTTGAATAAATGTATGCTAGAATTTTTGGTAGGCTCCAACTTAGAAAATACTTCACGTTCAAATTTCGTTATTGTTTCTTTTCTACTTCTACTGCTTCAATTGTCACACTGTGAGAAAACGGATAACATTTGTGCATATAGTGCTTTACAATCAGTCAATGTAAAAATAAATTCCTTAAATATTTATGTACATTGTTTAAAAATTACATGGTAATATACATGTAATCGAAAACGAAAACATTGATTTCTACTCTTCTGGAAATAAGTCCCAGGCAATAAAATCTTTGAATAGAAACGCCTTGAAAAATATAAATATCTTCTTCATGAGAAAACGTATTATTTAAATACTCATGTAGAATCACTTTGAATTACACGATAGTCAAAATGGTTGACTAGAGCTTGTATTATTGATATGGTAGCAGAAATATGACTCCAATTATCACTGCAAATGCTGTAACAGAGATAAATAATAATCAAGAAACAAATAATTATCCAATATTTAAAATTATATTACTTTTTTAGAATTAATACACTTCCTATCATTATTCTCAATTGTTAATTCATAAAAATTAATTTCCTAGACTGACTTATTTACATTATTGAAAAAAATTTGCAATTCTAAATAGAAAAGATACACACGTGATACAGGCCACATGCTCGATGCAGAGTTTTCACCATTTTTCTTGTTATCCATAGGACTCTCTGTAACAT